AAAAACCCACAAGCAAAACCCCCCCCAAAACCCATGGGATTATCAGATTCTAAATAACTGTAGAGGTAAATGGTTTGCTTTACAAAAGATTTTTTGTTACACATTCCAACACAAACTTATTTCCATATACTTTTTTGCTTAGCATTAATGTCCATGTTCTGCCAGATACTGTTATGCATGTTAGTTGTTCACTCTGTCAACACTTGTTAACAAAGAGCGCTGTTACCATTTTGTTTTTCAATAAGTTATGACAGAAGGTAACTACTGATTTATTTTTAAAATCCTATGGTTTTTTTTTTTTTTTACCTGTACGAAAACAAGCTCTGCCATTTGAAACTATTTCAGCAAAGATATAATGGATGGTGTCCTTTCAAAGAGAAGTGTACTCTTTTGACGGAAGTGCAAATATGTTAGCACAACACTCATTTACACAGTAATCTCAACTGTAAATACTGCACCCACATAGCATTTTATATGAAATGCTGGGTGTATACAAAACATGAGTGTGTAAATTACTCCAGCTTGGTTGCCTTGTATATTTTTTGCTACAACATTATTATTTAAGAGATCATACTTTAACAAGGAAGATAAATTAAGTGCACTCTACTTGATATATCTTTGCATATCACATTTTGCAATCAGGTACATGACTGTGCAATCTAACAAAAACAGACATGCCCATGATGCAAAAACTTGACAATTTTGTAGTCAGAATAATGTGGTATGAATAATTATTAGCAGGACAGAAGAAACTGAAATCCAATGAACTGTAGCTAGCTGCAAAACACAATTTCAAAGCTGCAAACTGCTCATCCATGCAGAATTAGGAAAGCTGGTAATGGAAAAAAACTTAAGCAGCACGTGCTTTTAACAGTCTCAAGACTGGGAAAATTTGGCAGCAGCAATGTAAGCACTAGGAAACCCCCCCAACGCCCGACAAAAAAACCCACAGCTTACTGTCCTCTTGTTCACTGAAAGATGATCCCCACATTTTGAAGCTTAACTTTGGTGCTCAAATTAACTTGGAAATTTACTAGCCTACACATTGTTACAAATACACTGCTCCAAACAGGTATCTATGTCTGTATGCCACAATGGCATCAAGGAAAAAAAACAGAACAAATAGCACACTGATTTATGCTAGTGCTCCCCAAACACGAAAGACAATTCAGGGATAGACTGATGACCAGGAAAGCACAAAAACATCACTAGAAGACTCAATGAAAGTGATGACGTTTGAAATTGTTGTTTTTTTTTTTTTTTTTGTTAAAATTGCCACGAAAGTGTACCATTTTCCATGAATTTCTGAAAATCGTATGTGAGAATCACAAATAGAAATATTTCTTAGGAGAGTAAAATAACATCACAGATGTAGAGCTCAGTCTTAAGTTGGATGCATAGCTCTCTGTCTAGACAGGTTGAAGAATTAGCAAATACAACTGCTCGTGAAGTACTAAGCATTTACAACTACTAGTCAGATGTTCAAAGAGACTTTTAAACTATGTATATTCCGTACCTGTCATCATGAGCAGCAATTCTTGCTCCTAAAACCATCCTTGCAGGAGTTAAAGACAATATTCCAACATCCTGGAGCTGTGTTAAGAAATCCTGCTCTGTTAAAACATGAAACAACTGTTCTTAAAAACAAAAGCTTTCTTCTAAGCTATTTACAGATTTTATAATTAGTCTGAGATATAATGAGCAGAGCAGATGGGCTATTTTGTACCTATTAATCTACAGAAATTACATCTTGATAGCTGAAGAATTGCTAATATTATAAAAATGGGGAGGAAGGGGTTGAAACTAGAACTTAAAGAGCAAACAAAATCCAAACCAAACAAAAACGCCTCCACTTATGGTGCACCAGTTAGCCTAAACAGCATTTCAAAGTGTCTCACACTGTATATGGAAACCAGTCACTCATGCTGAGCAGACAGACTACTTGCACTTAACCTTCTATGAAGTATTCCTTCTCTGTTCATTCTTCACAGAAGGATACAAAGAAATAGTTACAATGTAGTTTAATTAAAAAAAAAAATCAAAAAACTATTTCCCTCACCTGTAATGTAAGGATCACGTCTTGTTCTCCACTGTGGAACAAACACGGTAATATTTCTGTGGCCACGTTTCCAAAAGTAGTCAACAGCTATTGCAATTCCTCGACAGGAGAAGAATTTCCTTAGACCATGTCTGGGGGCAAAAGAAAGAGAAGGGAGATTAAAGTCACTAGAGAGTTTTACTACTATGAATACAAAGAAAACGGAACAAAACCTTCCAAAGTGAAGCTGGAAGTTACACATACAGCCTCATCAAAACAAAAGCTAGATGGATGTTATAGATGAGGAATCTCATAAATGGAAAGAAATCTTCAGCAAAAGAAGAGAACAGAAACATCACTTTGCAACTTTATAGCTCAGTCTCCTTTCAGTTTCATGGGCACAATGATATTTGGAGTAATCAGAAGCAGGTTTATCTTTAAAAAAGAGGCCAATAGTGGTGGTTTCTGAAATCTATTGATTATAGATTAGAATGATCATAATCCAGTATTGTGATAGTTCCAAATACAGTCCCACTACAAACCAGAACACCTTTGGTTCAACTGGTTCCCGAGGATTGCATCTGAGAAGTTCTCTGTCCTAAGACATTAGGACCTCCTCTCGCTTCATTTCAACAATCTGAGCTACTGTTTTCAGGCAAAATAATGAAATTTTTTGAAGAAAGATTTTCAAAAAGACTGTATTTCAGTGGTAATTTTTTCCCACCCATTTAAAAATACAATTATGTTCATTACCTGTTTTTGCTACTCAAGTGACTTTCCAGAAAAATCAGCAACTGCCTAATATATGGAGATCAGACTTGATGACCTCGTGAGGTCTCTTTCAATCTGAATTATCCCAATGATCCCATATGCCCATTTAACACACAGCAGAAAGACTGTCTAACCAGATTCGGGGTTCTGGGCTTCAACAGACTAATGGAAAAAGAATCTTAAAATAAAGCACAGAAGACATATTCAAAAATGGGTCTCTATGTTCATGTTGAAAGTTACACCTTCTCTACTTGTCCATTCTCCTGTTTTAGAGCTTTAAACCTGTTGACCTACAGAGTACTCTCTTTTTTTAAATGTTATGAAGCCTGGAACAGCAACTCTTGATTTGTCCTGTAAGATCACAAACTCCTGCCCTGTAGCAACTAAAAAAAAAAGAAAAAAGCACACACAAATAGAAGCAATATATTTACCTTTATCAAATAACAGGTAGAACTAAAGTGAGCTATAATATTTATTAACATGTCACTGCCAGATAAACAGAAATATGAAATGCTTTATTTGAGCTAGATAAACATCTGAAGGACAGCAAATTACCACAGCAAGGTAATTACGACGCCTTTTCAAGACACCCATCTCAAAGACTGCATCTGTTCCCCAACTGCCATAGTAAATACTGGTTTGGGCTGTCCTAGTTCTTTAAAAAAACTGCGAAGACCCTACAAAGGTATTTCTTAAGTTTAACAAGAGCTGCACATAAGCTCATAAACTGCACAAATTCAGGACATGTAACATTTTCCCTTTGGTTTTGTAAAGAAAGTACATATTATTTACAAACAATTCTAGGAAGATATAATTCCATCAAATTATTCTTTCATTATGACTTCTTTCACATTTTAATAAAATTTAATTTAAAATACTTCCATTTGCCTGTTTTCAGCACACAAAAAAGGACAATTTTTAAAAATACTTGTTAGTGGCTAGAGTACACTCCGGGCTTTCTCTCATTCAACAAGCACACTGAAAGTACAGCTAGCATTCATATATCAATGTGCTGTTTTTACTAGGCTGCACATGTCAAGAGGAAAAATTATTCAGCTTCTTGCAGTCTTCCAGACTTGAGACACAAGACAAGTAGCGTTTCAGAAGCCCACTCAGCTTTAGTCCAAGCATGCCAGCAATGCATTAATATCACCCAAAAAACACATGCCACTCAGAGGTCAACCCCCCCCCTTCCCCCCAAACATAGGCACGTCCATAAGCTCAAGATACTGAGAAGTAAAACTGAAGACAGTTCAAAGCAAAACTGGAAACAATTCTTCACTTTCTAAGATCTAAGAAAACAATGAGACTTTATTCAGCCAGAAGGAAGCTGCAGAATACCTACATAAAAAAAAAACCCAGGCCCCCATGCATTGACTACTTAGTAGGACATTTAAATATCTCAATGGTTCTGCTATATTGAGGCAGTTCTCTGTCCTCCACTTTTCATAAGCAGAGCTTTCATTTGGTTGAGCAGCAGGCAGCAGATGTCATATAACCATATTTGGGGACTGTATGTCAATGGTACCCAGCTACTATGCCCTACTCTAATGTGGGGTGTGTGCAGTGCACTGCGGCTGGTGTGCAAGACAATCCATTAGCGTGCATGAAGGAAATATCAGAACTTCAGCAATGCACATATATAATTGATAATTCTCTATATATTGGGGGTTCATGCTCAGATTTTTTTACTGATGGGGTGCTCAATCAAAAAAAGTGCTACTACAGTAGTCTCACCAGCCATCAGAGAGATAAGCAGATGCTTACTCACCATCTTTTAATTCATTGGTTTCAGATGTATTTGGTTGTTCTTAAAAAAAAGGCAACACAAACCCCCATAGATTAAATGCGCAGATGAAAAGAATAAAACTCTCAATACTCAGAAAAAAAGACAAAGAGGATGTAGTGTACTTGTTACTTTCTACATGACCCTAAAATTTTGTGTTTCTCTTCCACTAACACGTGTTTGGGAAATCATTTTCAGAAGGTCAAGGTAGCTTATGACTCAGTTGTGACTTGCACTTTTACATCACTATTTTCTAAATAACAGAATGTGAACAATGAAGAAATAAGTTTGCTTTAAAAACTATGTACTGTAACAAAACACTGAACTTGAATTAAAGCAGTGTCAAGAGTTATAGATCATGTTAGGCTTTCCCTTTAAAGTTAGTAAGACTACAAAATGACAGAAAACCTTAATCTATTGATTCAATTAATTCTCCAATGATTTACCTGAAAAGTTTTACTGTTGCCAGTCATAAGGGACTAGCTGTGGGCTCTTTAACATGGGGAAATTAATTTGTGAGGATGATCATGACCTTCTTCAATTAATGATCACTTAGCAGGAAAGGTTACGCATTAAGAAATCTTCTGACATTCATTCTCATAAACAGAAGAATTTACTTGGATTTACTTTTGACACCTTGTCTGTGCTATAGAGACTTTCTGGACTAACTGCAAATATCTCTATATTACTAGGTCCTTGCTCATTGAACTGCATTTTAAGGTAATTATCTTTAAAAAACTATGTTTTGTTCTGAATTTGGGAAAATAGTTATCTAGCAGGAACAAGTGCAAATACACAAGAGGCCTGTCAAAAAAAAAACAGGCAAAGTGAGACATATTTTTATATAAATTAACTTTAAAACATCAGCAGAAATATTTCTGAATGAACTCTATGACTAGGAATTTCAAGGTATTATCTGGTAGTTTACATAAGTTACCAGCAAATACCAAGGTATCAACACAAGAAATCATCAGGCTAGGACTGTACATAAAGGGAAGAAGTTAAGATTGGTTACTCAATTTGCTAAAATAATATTAACTGTTCTACTAGCACTTCACAAAAATTACAGAATCACAGAATGTTAGAGA